CTACCGGTTCGCAAATGTGAGCTCGCTTGGCTCACATGTGCCCCGTCCATGCATGTGCCTGGCCTTCCGACATGAGCTTTGCTGGCACACATGCCTTCCGTTCATGCGCCCAGCCTCAAAAACGTGCCTAAATGGAATGGCATAGAATCAGGGCAGGTGGGCGGGGTCATCCACAATTTCCGCTATGGGTTTGGGCAAACCGGTCCGAACCAGCTGAATACCACCTCTGGGTGCAACTGTTTTCTGTTAGCAAATCTGATGGTATCTTTTAATTGCAACTATGGTCCAAATGATCTGTAAAAATTTGTAGAACTTGATTTCATGGATGGATTATGGGCCATCAAATAAGAGTTGACTCTTGTCATAGCAGAAATAGACTTACCCCACAATGATTTGTCTCCAAACTCATCCTTCAGGTTTATGCATCTACCCTGTTAATGTTCCTCCTCTTCTTCATTGTCCTTCTACCTTTTCTAAGATTATGGATTTTCCAAAGGAACTGGATTTTTCCTTTAATGTGTGCAAAATGTAAAAATCTCAGCCGTCTCATTTGTGCTTCAAGTGAACACTGTGGATTGATTTGTGAGCCCCCGCATCCCCCACACCCCCCCGGGATGCACATGTGCACCCCGCCCCCCCCCCCCCCCCCCCCACCCATGTCCGCCCCCCCCCCGCTTCCGTTCCCCCACACATGTGCGCATGACCCCCCCCAGCCTGTTTTGGGCCTGGCAAGCCTTCCTGAAGCCTCCTGGGACCAAAAACAAGCTGCGGGGAGGGCGCTCTATACCCCCCATCCTGATTTGGGCCTGGCAGGCCTCCCTGAAGCCTCCTGGGACCTAAACCATGCGTGCATGACCCCACCCGCCCCTGCGCATGTACACATGACCCTCCGCGCATGCACACGCATCTCCCGCATGCACCCCACCCCCGCACCAGAGACCCAAAAATCAGCTGGCTGGCGGGAGGTGCATTTGGATGCATGATAGAGCTGAGCTGGGTGACAGCTCGCATGCCAGCAGAGAGGGCTCCACGTGCCATCTGTGGCACGCGTGCCATAGGTTTGCCATCACCATCCTAGGTTCTTGGGGAGAACTCAGTGCATATGAAAGTCAACACCAGCTGAAGCTATGATTTCACATGTTTATATAAATCAAATCAAATGGAAACTGCCCGTCCCACTCACGGAGTGACTCTGAGTATCGTACGATGAAAATATAAAAACATACAAATTGTGCATGGTAAATATTATATATCAAAGGCGAAGTTTTAAAAGCTGGGAAGACCTTCAAGGCACTTCCCAATAACATGGCTGTGTGCTCCTCTGTGAGCCCCAAGCAAATCTGCAGAGCCAAGTCATCAAAGTTTTCTAAAAGGACAGGAGAGTAGCGGGGGGAGGGGCTGCCTCCCCTCCGGGGGGGGGGGGCATGGTGATATTCCAAAGGGCAATGACAGAGGAGGCTCTCTTCCAGTTATTGTATGGATATGGAAAGTGTGACCTTCTAGCATATTTTGAAATAGATTATTTTATCAATTGATTTTTTTTTTAATTCAAAGTTACAAAGAGAACCTTTTGCAATCAATGAATTTTATGAAAGGGGGAATCTTGATTTAACTCTGGTAAATCAACATCTTCTTTTGTGTAGCATTTTTAATACAACTATCCTCCAGCTAAACCTGGGGTACTTGTCAATCCCCTTACAGTTGCTTTATTATCATCCAATAAGGCTTTATTCTCCCAGTCTTGTTAATTAAATTTCTTGAAAGACAAAAAGAGTTTAGATGATAGAGTCTTACGGTAGAAACTGGCTATGTGTAATGCATATTTGTGTGCTATTTAACCTTTCATTTTACTTTTCATTGGGATGAAATATATTTAAATTTTGCTTCCATACCTTTTATGCATTGATTTAGCATTGCAATGTGCGAAGGACAATGGACTTCCCAAATCAAACTTATAAAAGTACAGCGATACCTCGGTACTTGTCAGTATTTCATTCCAGAAGATATAATGAACAGTAAAACTGATGGGTACTGAGAAAGGGCTGTGCAGAGGCAACATGGGCCTGTCCTTTGCGGTTTCCAGGGTGGCCCCATTGGCCAGATCTAAGCACCCTGTGGACTGGATCTGGCCCATGGGTGTTGTAGTCCACCAGCAGCCTGTAGAGCTGGCAGCAGAGTCGGACAGTGAGGAGGCTGGGGAGGAACATGGGCCAGTCCTAGAGTCTGGGGAAGGCTCGGATGAGGGCTCTGCATCAGAGGCAGAGAAAGGGCCATCTGGGAGGTACGTGCTGCCTCTGGAGCCTCCAGAGTCGGACCTCAGCGAGGCAGAGGATCAGAGGGAGCCTGTTCCCAGTGCACACATGCACAGAGCTGCCAGAAGGCAAGAACAGTTAAAACAAAAGGGACAACTTGGGAGTAGGGCTTGGAGATGATTGGCCCCTCTCATAAGACTTAAAAGAGGAGCAAAAGCACGTGGGCCTTTGCAGGAAGCAACGTTGTTAATTCTGTGCAGTTTAAAGTCTGAAGCTCTGTTTGATTCTGGACTCCATGTGGCTTTGCCAATTAGGTCTTTGGCAGCGTGTCAAGGGAGATAAAGGCGGGTGATTATCCCGAAGGACTCTTTACAACTATTTGGGACTCATCTGTGAATGAACAGAATTCACATCTGTTAAAATAAAACAGGTTTTTGGGACTACTCGTGTATTTTACTGATTCAGGAAGCCTAGGTCAGAACAGTGGGCCTTGAGTTTGACACTCCTGAACTAGACAATCTGTGCCCTGTTAGGTCATCAAGGAGATATTTCCTTGCGTAAACAGAGAAACAGAATAATCACAGATGGGAAAAATAAACCACTAGGGACAGGAGCAACTTTTGACTTCCTGCTGGCTTCCTCATTGAGTTTCCTTGTGAAAAGTTGGTAGGGAGCATGAGAAACCCTTCCTTCCTTCCTTCCTTCCTTCCTTCCTTCCTTCCTTCCTTCCTTCCTTCCTTCCTTCCTTCCTTCCTTCCTTCCCTCCTTCCTTCCTTCCTCCCTCCCTCCCTCTTTTCTCTCTCTCCCTCCTTTTCAGCAGGCAGGTAAGGTGGCTGCTGCTGGGTGGGGGAGGAAATGAGAGATTGTGAAACTAGATGGGAAATTGGCAGATAACACTGAAAATGAAGATAACCTGATTGCAGTAACAGCTAGTAGCATTGAAACAGCTAGAATTTCCCCACATTTCATTTCCTCAAGACTAATGGGTCCTGGATTTTGGACACATTCTGTAAATTAGCCCATTTAAGGTACATGGGTTCAAAAATTATCACTCTATGGTTCACCATTTTGCCCAGTTAAAGGTCATGACAAGAGATACTACCAGAACAGTATAACAAAGGGAACACATTTAATTTAATTAGTAACAGCAGCAAGAATAGTGTTTGCACAACAATGGAAAAACGAAGACGTCCCGACAGATGAAAGTGTTAATAAAAAAAAATATTAGAATGTGCTGAGATGGATAGATTGACACTTAAGATAAAAGAAAAGGAATAAACAGAATGCTTTTTAACATGGGATATATTTTACCAATGGTTAACGAACACAAACAGAGGTAAGAATTTAAAAAGAATTTAAAAAGATAACAAAAAATTGTATTGAAAATACTGTGAGAGGCATAAACTAATTGTTTTATTATTTTATGATTAATAGTGATATATTTATTAAGATTACTAGTATGATTATGGTTATTGTTGTACTTTTACTCAAAATTTATTATGCCCAGAGAACACGCTGTTCAGATAGACATGGAATTTTTTTTTATGTTTTTAAAGAAAAAATGTACCAATAAAACATATATTCAAAAAAGAAAAGAAAAAAAGAGATTTTGAAGTAATATACATTACTTCAAACTCTATCTATGGGGGGAAAAGTATAGGGAGCTATCTGATACTCAAGCGTAGTGTTTACAATACCAGATTATTTACAATGCTGATTATTTAAAGAATGGCTCTACTTGACCATATCTGGAAGTGAATGAGAAACGGGAAGCTGAGGCAGGAGCCAGGATTATAATTCATTCCAGACTATGTTTGGATGCCTTCTGTCACTTGATTCCTTTCTGAGCTGGTAGTTAAAGTGTCATGTTCTGGCTATCCTTGTAAATATGATGGAAAGCTTCTTTTTCTACCAGAAAGATACCAAAGAAGCCAAAGGGCTTCAATCCAGCATCCAGCTTGTTTGGTTTAAGATCCTTGACTCACTGTGTCCTGCCATCATCCATAACTCAAGTTTAAATTGCTGAGAAGATTATTATATACCCTGTTTCCCCCAAAATAAGACATCCCCTGATAATAAGCCCAATCGGATTTTTCAGGACATGGCAATAAGGCCAAGCGCTTATTTCAGGGTTCAAAAAAAACATAAGACAGGGTTTTATTTTCGGGAAAACATGTTATCATCTATCTATCTATCTATCTATCTATCTATCTATCTATCTATCTATCTATCTATCATCTATCTATCTATCTATCTATCTATCTATCATCTATCTATCTATCATCTATCTATCTATCTATCTATCTATCTATCTATCTATCTATCTATCATCCACCTATCTATCTATCTATCTATCTATCTATCTATCTATCTTCTATCTATCTATTTACCTTGTTTCCCCAAAAATAAGACATCCCCTGATAATAAGCCCAATTGGGCTTTTGAGCGCATGGCAATAAGGCAAAGCGCTTATTTTAGGGTTCAAAAAAATATAAGAAGGGATCTTATTTTCGGGGAAACATGGTATGACATTGTACTTTTACTTTGCATGAAAATTAAAATGCATTCCCCCCCCATCGTTTTGGGGGTTTAAAGTTGTTTCAATACATACATACATACATACATACATACATATATCTCCTTAATTAATGTTCATAATTGTGTACATGGTGCTTTTATTATAATCAAGTGCTTCTCTGACTGATCCTCGGATCTTTTCAACATGTTAGTCTATTGATTTTTCCATAGGTTATCAATGCTGCCATAGCTCTTGCGGCCAAGCCCAAAAGCCAAGTGGTAAAAAGCAACATGGAAATGTATAAAGCCACCTGGGAGAATCACATACGTGTACTTACAGAAGCTGTGGATGACATTACAAGTATTGATGACTTTCTTGGAGTATCAGGTGTGCCTCTTTCAGTTTCTTCTTTTCTCTTTGAAATACCATTTCCCCCCCTCTTAATGATTATTTGAGAGATGGCATAATTCCTTAGGAAGCTCAGATGTATCATCCACCTTCTAGAACCTAGCCAGGTGTGAAATTAGTGTGAAGGAAAGTGAGTCTGAAGACAGAAGAATGGAATTGCTTCTGGTACCCAAAGGAGCTCACGAAAAATAGCAGAAGCTCTTGGCTTCTTTCACCTGTCCTCTACTAGAGGAAGCACAGCATGCCTTGAAACATCTAACATACTGTGGGATGTCTTTTAATAAAAATCAGTAGCAAGCCCAAGTAATTTTGAGATACTTTATGTATCCTAAGCGGGGGGGGAGAGCTAATTAGTGGGTCCAATTCACACTTGAATTTTAAGGTAAAAGTAATTATTAATTGCACATAATTGTAAATATGTTCTGAAAGAGTTATTCAGCCATATGGTACAGTAAATGTTTTGGTGCACTTCAAATAATATCCATTAGCAGCAAAGTTCAGAAGAAACCATTAGCCGAAGCCAAAAAAGCCAATGCAATCCTAAATTACATTAACAGAGGGATACAATCAAGATCAAGTGAGGTACTAATACCACTCTATAAAGCCTTGGTAAGACCACACCTAGAATACTGCGTCCAGTTTTGGTCACCACACTATAAAAAAGATGTTGAGACTTTAGAAAGAGTGCAGAGAAGAAGTGCAGGATGATGAGGGGATTGGAGATTAAAACATATGAAGAACAGTTGCAGGAACTGGGCATGGCTAGTCTAATGAAGAGAAGGACCAGGGGAAACATGATAGTGTTCCAATATTTCTGGGGCTGCCATAGAGAGGAAGGAGTCAAACTATATTCCAAGGCACCTGAAGGCCAGACAAGGAATAATGGATGGAAACTGATCAAGGAGAGATTCAACCTAGAAATAAGGAGAAATTTTCTGACAGTGAGAACAATCAACCAATGGAACCGCTTGTCTTTGGAAGTTGTGGGAGCTTCATCATTGGACACTTTCAAGAAGAGATTGGTCTGTCATTTGTCAGACATGGTGTAGGGTCTCCTGCTTGGACTAGATGTCCTACAAGGTCCCTTCCAACTCTGTTAATCTAATCTAATCTAATCTAATCTAATCTAATCTAATCTAATCTAATCTCCGAAAATAAAACTGGCAATTTAGGCAACTTGGGCGTTGATGTTGAATTTAACCAAGGTCTCATATGTGAGGGACACTGGAACACTAATGTTAGAATGTCTCCATGTGCCTAAATTGTGACTTATTTGATTGATTTTATTTATTTGACTTATTTATCAGTAGAAAGTTTCCAAAAATTTAAAAGCAATTAAAACATACAGGACATATACAAATTGTATTATCTTATGTAGGAACAGAATCAAACTTACCTGGTTAAAACTTTTTAAAAAATGGTAAGAGGGTTAAATGTATTAAGACAAGCAGTGAAATACTGTGGGCAAATTGAAACTGTTTGTAAAGTTTTCTTAAAAGCTAATATGGGTGTGAGAAAGTCCCACTCGTGTCTTGTGAATTGTGTTCTTCAGATATAGTGCAACCAGGGAGAAAGCAGCAGATAGGCTGGTTCAGGGTTCATGCAAATACTTGTGTGATTTGGTCCTGCATCAGTGGTGGGTTTCAAAAATTTTTTCTACCGGTTCTGTGGGTGTGGCTTGGTGGGCGTGGCAGGGGAAGGGTACTGCAAAATCCCCATTCCCTCCCGATCAGCTGGGACTTGGGAGGCAGAGAATAGATGGGGGCGAGGCCAGTCATAGGTGGTATTTACCGGTTCTCCGAACTACTCAAAATTTCCGCTACCGGTTCTCCAGAACTGGTCAGAACCTGCTGAAACCCACCTCTGTCTCGCATACACAAAGTGTGTACATTCAAGAAATTTGATGAAGGGGTTTCATATAACATGTATGTGACCTTTTAAATAAATTAATTAACAGAATAGATCAATATTTGGATGCTATCCAATTTAAATTTCCCTATTCATCATTTGTATTTTCCTCACTTTGGGCATATCCTCACTGTTCTCTTAACCTGCCCCTGTCCTATTCTGATATTGGTTGAATTTTAAACTGATTTAACAAAATAGTTTGAAGGTTGGGAGACTTTGGCAATAATTTGCTGATGACTACAGGTACAAGCCTCCCACAGATAGCTCCCCTCCTGCTGGGCCTCTCAATTTTCCATGCCAAGAAAGTAACTGCAAATTGTTTTTCCTTCTCAAGGCAGCACAACAATCTTTTTTTAAAAAAAAAATAACAAAATTCTTTCTTTCTTTCTGGCATTTTTCCAGGTTTGACTGATAAATGTCTGTTTCTATCATTGTTTTGGGCTGTGGTGGTATTCAGCTGGTTCGGAACAGTTTGGGTGAACTGGTAGCGGAGATCACGGGTGGGCCAGTGGTGAGTTGCCCCCGGTTCGGACTGGTTCCATAGAACCGGTAGTAAAACCGGTGGGAGGCTCCGCCCACTGACCCTGATGTCATCAGAAGCAATCTGCGCACGCGCAGAAGCTTCCATGCATGCGCAGAAGCAAGGCGCATGTGCGAGCAAAGCGCACGCGCACACATGATCCTGTTGCGAACTGGTAGTAAAGATAAGTAGAACCACCCCTGGGGTGGGCCCATGGGCCCACCCACCCCGGCACTATGCTGTCCTATTTAGCCATGTTTTTGAGGCCGGGCGCATGCGCGGAATGGGCGCACGTGCACAAAGTGAGCATGTGCACGTGCAGTGAACCGATGGCAAAAATATGTGAAACCCACCTCTGGTTGTGGGTATCTCTCAGTAGGATAGTGATTAAAACATTTGCCCGGATATAGAATGTCATTGGCCAAAACACAGCAGATTTTTTTTTAGTTGCTATTTTTCTTTCCCTAAATTATGCGTTTAAGTGAACAAAAAAACCCAATAGACAGATTTATTAATGCATCATTTTATTGTTTCTGTGAGATGCAAATGACTTTGTGGAACTTATTTATTTGGCTATCTGAGGGAAGGGAGGGAGGGAGGGAGGAGATAAAGGAAGTTCAGTGTTTCAATGATGCATTAGTGCAGGGGTCAACAACCTGTGGCTCTGGAGCCGCATGTGGCTCTTTCACCCCTCTGCTACGGCTCCCTGTCACTCAAAATATGCGTCACAACCGCCAATGTGCGACACCCACCAGCACTCAGTTTATTGAGTTTTTCAACCCCCGGTAGGCCAACCATGGTTAAATCCAAGAAAAGAAAAGTTTCAGAAGAAAACAGAACATTTAATTCAACTACATATGCTAGTTTTGTGGCCGCTCAAGAAATAGTCAGGTGGAGGAAGGGTTTTGTGGCTCCCGGTGTTTTCTTTTCTGTGGGAAACTGGTCCAAATGGCTCTTTGAGTGTTTAAGGTTGCAGCCCCCTGCACTAGTGGTCTTTTTTTAAAAAAAATAAAATAAATAAAAGCCAGCAGGGAATGGATACCTTAAGTGGATTTTTTTTTAAAAGTTAAAAAAAAAAAAAGTTTTGAACTTTCTGCATATCAGGCAAATGCTATAACCACAATCCTACTTTGACATACTGATAACTAACATACAGTAGATATGCAGCTACAGTGATTATTACAGAGTGGATATTGTTGATCCTCTGACCAGGATAAGGGCTCCCCTGCCACTGTGTGCAGTAGCCAACCAAAACGCAGGGTTTCTCTAAAGCCGTGTGTTACATTCTTGGCAACTGTATGGACTTTAGCTCTCAAAATTCTGCGAATTGAAATCCACACATCTTAAAAGTTGCCAAAGTTGGAAAACACTGCGTTAGATCAACGTTAAGTGCTGCAGGCAAATCAAACAGCCATCTTTGAGTCGACTCAAACTGGAAAACGCTGTTTTGAAATTAGAGCAGGAAAACATAGGTAGAAATTGCATTTGTGGGCTAGCGGTAAGCAGAAGAGATCATTATCTTGCCTTCAAAAAATGGTTAGTACTCTGGATTTCTAATGAGGCAACTGACAGTGCAAATATGCCTTCAATTTTAGTTCCTCTCCTTGATCAGATTGCTTTTCTAATAAGGTGTCAGAATTGCAAAGTAGGAAATAAAACATGGATAAATATCTAGAAAATTGAATTCAGATGAAACAAGATAAAGAATTTGGGAATAAAAGCTTTTCCCTTTCTCTTTGGAATTATTGGCCCACACTTAGGGATCTGTGTAAATCCAATGTGTGCATTTTGCTCATATGTCATCTTTGTCATTTTTTTTCAACAAATGTAGAAAAAAAAACCTGCCAAGGATATGTATTTGCCACAGATAAATATTTGTGCCTTCAGTTTCTCATTATTTTATCTAAGTTGACTAGAAGAAGGAAGGAAATTTTTTGGGTAGGATGCAAACTTCATTCTGTTAAGAGTAAGCTCACCAAAACTAAAATAGCTAACTTTAGTCAATTGATTTGAATCGTCTTCTTCTTGTGCCATATCCGTCATCGGACGTTGGCAAGCATGTTGGTGATCCTATTTTTATCAACAGATGCATGAAAAAGTGCTGCTGAGTTTTGTCCAAACCAGTCCCTTAGATTTTGAAGCCATGAAATTCTTCTGCCTGGACCTCATTTGCCTTCAATCTTTCTTTGGAGGATTAAGTGAAGTATGCTGTATTTTTCTGGGTGTCGCATCACATGTGCAAAATATTCTAACTTTCGCTTTTTTATAGTTTTGATGATTTCCCTTGGCTTTCCCAGGTGGTTTATCACCTCCTCATTTCTGATTTTGTTAAGCCAACTTATATGTAACAGTCGTCTGTAAATCCACTGTTACAAACAACTAAAATTGGATCCATCCCATTTTCTTGGGGAAATATTTCTCTACTTTATTTCTCCATCTGTGACTCTTTCCTTCTGATTAATTGAGAGCAATACCTGCAACATTGGCAAATTTGCATGAGAGAACTTGGGTAATGCGTGATATGGTACAATCGTGTATTGACAGAAATAAA